TGTGTGTTGTGGCATAGTCCCATAATCCCATCACTCTAGGAAAGTAAAAAGGGATTACAAATTCAAGCCAAGCCAAGATTTGCCCAGGTAAAAAGGACTTTATAAAAAGAATCAACTCAACCTTATTCAGTAAAATATTTTTATTAACTGAAACAACTTGATGACAGAATCAAACTTTATTTAGTAAAAATAATTTTACTGTCTGCTTTACTTTAGTAAAATAATTTAGTGACTTAGTGAGCAGACTATGTCTCAGGATACAGAATAAAAAAGGCCTGAAGGTCAATGCTAAAGCCATGGGATCAATCCCCAACATTACAAAAAAGTTGTTTGCAATTAGTGTTTGAAAACTTTGTCTTCATGCTTCATTATTAGCAGAACTTGCAAAATAAATACATTTAATTTAATTTTCTGACCAAGTTTTTAAACATTATAATCTATTTCTTGTACAGAAAAATTTCAAAATTAAATTCATATTTTATCTTTTAGTACATGTTTTCAGTACAGAATGGTTACATCCGTGTGGAAAGCTGGCACATGTACGTAATACAGCTTAATTCTTTTTTTCATCTTCCTCCCTCCCTTCCCTGAATATTTTATAAATAGGAAAGATTTGACCTACTTCAGAGTTTACTAATTATAATATTGCTACCTTGATTTTTTTCTGTTCATTATCAATTTCGTTAATTTTGTCAGTGCACTGTTTATTGCTACATTTCTATTTTTTTGAAACATGCTTTTGCTAAGGAATGTTTGATTCTTCCACCAAGGTGTCTCAGTTAATAAGAAAATTTTACTGCATGAGTTTGAGTTGATCATTTTATTAAGTCCCCCTTTTTCCTGGATCAGTTGTTTCAGTTTTTAACATTACCTTTAAAGATGTTGTTCTTATCAAATCTTAATGTATGGTAGTACTAGTCCATGGTTATTAGTTTTATTTTTCTCAAGTTGTTAGAATTCAGGGGGCCTGGGGAGATAGCTTAGTAGAATAAGTGCTTGCCTTGCAAGCGCAAGGGCCTGAATTCAATCCCTGGTTCTGCAAAAAAATAAATAAATAAATAAAAATTTCAGAGTTAAAATGGCAGGATCAGAGTTTCTGGTCTCTTCTTTACCAATCATAGTACAGTGGCAGGAGTTCTCCATTGGGACATTTGTGGTAATGTAGCACAGAGTTCAAATTTTGCCATTGAAGTTTTCCCATTTTATAGGACTGACACCCATATCTTGTCAAAAGCTTATATCTCTGTCTTAAGTATTTTTCTTGAGCTCTAGAGCCAAATACAGTGGGGTTTCGTTATATCCTCTTCATTTATATGAATTCAATGATATATTGTTATGAGAGTGGGTATGGTTAGAAAAATTCTTTTTTTTTTTTTTTTTTTTTTTTTTTTGTGGAACTGGGGATTGAACTCATGCCCTTGCGCTTGCCAGGGAAGCACTTATTCCATTGAGCCATCTCCCCAGCCCATGAAAAATTCTTTAAACAGTATGAACAAGTTCATCAGCTAGGCCCATTATTCATGAGTTTGAATCTAAAGGGGACAAGATGCCATGAATCTACAGTACTCTATTTAATTTCAGTTGGCCTAAGGCTCAAGTAATATCTCACTGACCTAAACATCATGTGTTTAAAGACATACATTGTGTTTTTCATGGCCCTTAAATGCAACCCAACTATTTTGTTTGACATTAAGTTGAGAATCACTAATTCTGGCACTGGAAGAAAAGCTGACTGAGCAGTACCTCTCAACTGTTCCTTCTTGGTGTGTTCTGAAGAGTTTTGACTGCAGTTTTTCATTTTGTGCATTTTTTGGAGTCTAATGTATATAAATTATAATTTACCTCTGTGCAGATGCTTCCTGGCTCTTTCTACTTACAGATCTCCCAGGCAGCCTTGACTCTGTTGCAAGCTGAATTTTTTTCCTTAAAGCTTTCTCCTTTCCTAGCACTGTGACTCAGGGAGTTGTACTACTGTTAATCCTGCTGCCCAATCCACGAACCTTGCTAAAGCCCATTTCTCACACCACTCCCTTGTTCTTATGTAACTCATAATAATTCAGTCACCCTCTGTGATTTTCTTTGTTGCCACAGTTTCCAAGCTTATTTCTTGGATCCTAGTAACCCAGTTCCTTTGCCCTTGTGTATTAAACCCTATCAGTTCCCATCATGTAGAGGATTTTTTAAAAAAAACTGGTAGTTTGTTCCTTGTAATAATAAAAACAATGAAAATCCAATCCTCTGGCAATTTCTCATTGATCTTTACAAAGATTAAAAACTTTTTTTTTTCATTTTATCTTTTTTCCATAATTTTATTGAGAAGCAAATAGCAATGAGATAGTTTCAAACCAAATTGGTAGGACAGTTTCAATAATTAACACACTGCAAACATTCTTCCTAGTGGTTAATTGCTGTACAAGATGTGGACTTGATATCCTATGTACAAACACCATTAGAACAAATCCCTCTATTCATTAAGAGAATGTAACTATATATCTATCCTAACCACTTTGAATACACAGATACAAAATGGACATTCATCTGTATCCCCTTTTTTGGTTAAGTTCTGTTATTTGAATATTATAGGTGTGTAAACTCAGCAAAATATTCTAAAAGAGTCCAGTAGTCCATAATAGTATTGGGTCTTCTGCTTGACTGGCAAGGTCAGAAATTGTTGACCTGAGTCCCCTGCAGCTCAACATAACAGCATGGCTTTACTTCTTATATTTTGTTTTTATACTTTTCTGCTGGATGGTTAAGACCAAGGTAAAGCAGGACCTGTGCAACCAGAGTTGTAGCTTTTGGGTCTAAGAAGGTCAGTGAAATCCTCTCAGGATTTATCCTGAGATCCTGTACCTCAGATTGTAGAACCTACAAAGGTTAAACACTTGATCATATTCATTCTCTGTGTTTGTCTTTGTCTCTCTGCCTCTGTCTCTGTCTCTCTCTCTCTGTATCTCTGACTCTGACTCTCTGTCTCTGTCTCTGTCTCTGTCTCTGTCTGTCTGTCTGTCTATCTGTCTCTCTCTCTTTCTCTTTCTCTCTCCTCTCATGAAGTGGCTATAGTTCCTCTGTCATGAACATGTTCTTATGTGGATGCAGGTATGTGTTCCCTGTTGACCACAGCCCATCTGGCCATTACATTCCATGAAATTTTCATTCCTGTTAAATAGAACTGGACTTTGAGCCAGGCACAGTGATGTACACCTGTAACTCCAGCACTCATGAGGCTGAGGCAGAGGATCATCATGAGTTTGAGGCAAGCCTGGGCTACATAGTTCAAAACCACTCTAAATTACATAATGAGATCTTGTCTTAAAAACAAACAAATAAATAAACCAAAAGAAGAGAACTAGTTGCTGGACACCTTGTTCTTTCTCACCAGTGAGACACTGTACACAGCTCCCAGCAATATCCTAGTACACTGTTTTCTTTTTTCCCCCTTTGACTTCTGTTTTCCACATCCAGTATGACTTCATCCAGTATGGCCTCGGGATATTAAAGTGTTGGGACACAATCCTTGATTCCCCAAAACTGACTACACACCTATTCTATGCATGGATACTGGCACACTCTTCTATAATTTCCTCTGCCTGTCTGTCTCCTCTATCCTACCAAGACAGCTTAACTCCAGAACTAGGAAGACAAGGACTGTTGTCACCATCAGTGCCTAACACCATGCCTGGACCATGCAACAGGTACACAGTGGTTGATTAAGAAACTCACGATGTGTCAGGTTCATCATTAATTCCCTGGAGTAATGTGACAATCAGTCCATTTAGTAAAAAGAAAGGAAGAGAATCCAGGCATGGTGGTAGAATCCTAGAACTTGGGAAACAGAGGCAGGAAGATTGCCATGAATTCGAGGCCAGCCTGGAGTACTTAGTGAGTTCAAGGCATCAGAATTACATAATGAGAACCTGTCTCTAAATAAATAAATAAATAAATAAATATTTAAGTGAATCTAGGTATATAACTTAGGACAAGGCAATGGAGGAGTAAGAGTAATCCCCCAGCACCACATGCCAGCAGCCCCGCCCACTGGTGGGCTGAGCTGGCCACACACACACATATAATAAATAAATAAATAAATAAATATTTAAAAAAGGAAGAGGATGCCTGGCATAGGGAATAAGGGCATGCAGCCTGAATACTACTGGTTTTTCTCAGAAGCTACTTTAT